ATTTTATAACACCAACACCTGCTCAAATCCTCTCTGAACTTTATTTCTAAATGTCACCGTTTTTTATTGAATCAACGGAAATTTGAAAGAAGAAACAGAATAAACATCCAGAGAAGATCAAGGGAGTTAGAAAAATCTTTATAGAAGCCTCATTGAGTTTTACATGAGCCAGGGTGCTGTCAGTCTCCCTGAAGGGGTGGTGGAGTAATCCGTCACTCTACAACTTCAACCTGAGTATACCTAAAAGACTAAAAAGGGCTACATGCCGAAAAAGAGAAGACAGAAAAGAGTCTTAAGATTTTTCTTAATATTATAAACAGAGGAATCATGAATCAAATACTAAGCACTGCAAATAAATTCATTTTAAACCATCAGCTTGAAGTTGGAGGCAGTTCAGTAAACCAGTTCAACTCTCTTTATTACTCAAGAAACTTTTTATGACACTCTTGTTTGAACACTAAGTGGGAGTGAGTTCTCCGTTTTGGAAGGCAGTCAGTGATAACGAAGGTTTTAACTTATTGTAAGTTCAGTTCTCTCTCCCTCTGTAACTTCTACCTGTTGGCCAAAGTTCTGAGGCCTGAAATAATGAAGAACTAATTTAGGTAAACTAATTAACTCTATTATCTGTTAACATATTTTATCAGACTCAATTTAAAAGACCCCTTTGATTTAAAATAAGAAAATTTTACCTAAAAATCTCTACATTCTGGATTTTATTAAAGGCAAATTCAATCTGTAGACTGGGTGGGCACAGGCAGACAATATAAAAGAAGAGATCATGCTTGGTGGGAATAGTGGAGAAATTGGAGAACAGCCAAAGAAAAAAGCCCATTACTCATCCTGGAAGGATTGCTGACATGAGAAAATGTGGGTCCAATGTTGCTAGATGTGCAGCTTTCCCAAGAGAAGGACCAAATTTAGAATTTTTATGTGAACTTCCCCAATTTTTTAAAAGTTGGCAACTAATTCAATTTTTAAAATATTGCATAGGCCAAACAAAACTGCTTTTTGGACTAGACTCAACTATGGCCCACCAGTTTGCAATTTCAAAATGATGTTATTTAAAGTTTTATTTAAAGGGAAAATATTTATAGTTACTATTCTCAACACTAATACACATAAAGTAAAATAGAAACATACTGTAAATGTTAGTCTATACTTGAAAGAAACTGGTCACAATAGAATAAGATTTAAAATTCTTCAAATTTTAGAGGGTCCACTGATGCAACAGCCCCCTTTATACAAATAAAATATTCACACAGCAAATTAACTCCTTAAACAAAGTGTCCTTTGTTATCAATGTTCAACACATTTAATACACTCAATTTTGTTTTAAATTGCAAATTCAAAGAGTAAATCTCTAGCTAGGCAAGTTCAACTAGTTGGCAACATAATTTGCTTTAACAACCAGCCTGGCTTTTGTTATATTTTGTGACTTTAGCTGACAGATGCTAGAGAATCTTTCACTTCTCTTGTATTGCGGTCCTCTACTGTTTTCCTAATTCATGAGCAAGCAAGGTCAACTGTCAATCAAAGAATTATATGTTAGATGGTGGATATATAGATCATATGATCAAACTTTATTGTTAGGGCTAATGTTAAAAATTGAAAATGAGGAGATTAATTTCCTCTTTGATAGCCCATTTAAATATTAAGAATAGCTTTTGTAAAGATTGATTAAAATCAATTAGATTTCATTTAATTCTTCTGGGGAAAAAAAACAAACCAAATAGCCATTATAGCATATCACTATTCAGACTGAGAACCATTCAGTTTTTTACATATCAGCTTTTTACATACAAAGCACACTGCTTCTACACTCTATACCAAACATACAAAAACGATGAAGAACAAACTGAATGTGAAATAACAAGAAATTTATATCAAATGCAAATAAACATTCCAATAAACTTAGAGTCAGAGAGAGTGGAGGAGACGTAATAACCAGATGTTTAATTTAAATCATTGATAGAAATAGTCAGTGTCTTCTTTTCATAAACCACTTGGATTTTATTTGTATTTAAAAGCAATGGTAAATGTCAAATGACTACTAGACCATCCTTATGAATACAAGAAAATATCATGCCTTTTAACTCTCTAAACAAAAAGCGCTTTCACAAAAACAAACGTACAGAACAGCATGTCTTAGTCACACAGATCAATTCAAGAACCACAAAATGCTAAAAGGTACCATGAGCTTAACAATAAAGACCTTCAATTACCACATATTTTTAACTTTGAACTTGAAGAAAAAAGCTTATTGATAAAAACTTTTAAAATCCAGGATAAATCTTATACCTAAAGATATGAGAAAAGTATCAAAGTTTATCTTCATATAAGTAGTCCTTTATTAAAGCTAGCAACATTAAACATAGATCCCTTTCACAGGTATTACGTACAAAATGTATCTAAAGGTTCTATTATATCTTTATTACCAAAGAAAATAATGAGATTAGTTTTAAAAAAACTAAGAATGTTACATATAAATGTCAACTGTGTGTGTATCCCAGCTATGAAATGGAAAATTGACTCATTAGCCATTTGCTTTTTCTTGTTTGTCCCCATCCAGTTTTTACTGCAGCAAAGATGGAAAAACACATCCAATCAGAAAAGCCAAAGAAAAGTCAAACAAATGGTCTAAAATTTAATAGGAATAGTATGACCTTCTGCTGAACAAAAGATGTTGAAAGGTTTAAATGAGAACACGTGTAAAGTGCCTATCAATTTCCTGGGTAATAAAGGTTACTTTCCCTCTCCTCTATCCTTACAAGGCTCACTATTATCTCACTCATTAAGTCTTATGTCACCTAAAGAGAGCAACCTTTGGGAGCGGCAGGGACTCAGTGCCCCATGTCTGAGACACAGCATCAGGTATTTAGTAGGGGGTTGATAAATGCTTTCTGATTTACTAGAGGATAATAATAATGAACAAATGTAAAACAGACGCTAATTGATAGGCTAAATGCATTAGTGCATTCCAGTACCCTCTATATGAAAGGTTACTAACCCATCTTGGCTAAGAGCTGAAATTATAATTAAGTCTGATGGGAAGGCCTCGATTTATACCAATATAATTACAAATATTACTTAGCTTAGTGATAGAGTATGGCAAGAACAATGAGCTGAGTAATTTAGACGATACTGCAAAGTGGGTTTTAATGTCTGAAACTTCTAATACAGTACACAGGATAAGTGCAAGTAGTGTAATTAAAACCTAAGAGAGTCTGATCTTTAAAACTCTACTGCTCAACCTCATTAAAATGCATGTTTTCTCAATTAATCCAAACTTTTCCATTAAAAACATAAAAATACACTTTCATTCCCTGCAAATAAATCTCTACAGTACACGTATTTAGGATCAAATATCAAATAACCATTAATAGTTAAGTAGGAAAAAGACGATTGAAATAGCAAGAGATTCGAGCACATGAAGCCTAACAAAGGGAAGGAAAAGCAAGGTAAGGGCTGCCCACTTTTTCACACACAGTTACAGCTAAATAAGCATCTGAAGAGCTCAGAGATGAGGAATCCCTGAATACCTTTGCTTAAATGATACACACCTAAGCAAAATGTTTATTTAGGAGATAATCCTTTTAATCATATATGGACTGCATCTTATTTACCTCTGTAGGCTCCATGTACTGACTTAGGGACATAGAAAATTGCTGTGGAATGAAAGGCAATCATTTTCATAATCACTTTGTGGCAGAATAGTTTTCTGCTTTCAATTCAATGCATTACTAAGACTTTTACCTCAAGATTAAGCTAAATACCTAAAAACAAAGGATAATATTTTTAATGTACTTTATTTGATTAGTTGTTATGAAAAACACTTACAAGACTATTTTTAAGTTGTCACATAATTGACTCTGCAGAAGAATGCTGATTACACAGAATTTGACTTTTTTCAAATTTTCTTAAGTTTCCTTTAGATTTTGAAATGCCTCACACAGTGACTATTACTAAAAAGCAATAAATACCTTTAATAAATGCTGATTGTGCATCTATTCTGAATGAGTAAATTTTTCAAGAAAGAGCCAAGTTGAAAGCTATCACATAATTTAAAGAGTAATGCAGGGTAATTTATAAAAATGTCACTAGAATTTACCATACTTGGGGAAAATGGAGTCTATATGATTTTACTTTTAAAGTATGTAAAAAAAATTAAAAGTGAATGGGGGAAGTGTCAAATTTTGAGCATTATCTGACACAAACTTAAATTATTGCTCCAATTTGTGAAAAATACTTAAATCTAAATAGGTTCTAATTTTAGCTGAAATAGTGCTTTCTATTTTGAAAGCAAAATATTTTTGATGGCCTATCTTTAAAAAAAATTTATTCTTGAAAAGTTACTGGGCAAGAGTCTTCTCTCACACCTATATTTAAGACCCTACGTAAACTAACCAGCAGCAACAGAGCAGTGCTGCTCTGTAGTTGTTTTCATTAGAAAGAGGTCTACTTTCAAAGGTTCTTGCTTTTTTCTCTCTCTTCTTTTTTAGAGAAAATTGGTTTATCATTGCTTATCTAAAAAACTACCCATTTTGCACATTTTTACACTATATATCTAACTTTCCATCGTGTGACTTTTACTTTCAGAACAAATCACATGTATACAGAAAATAAAATGTCACCCTTGAGAAGGGATCTGAATGCATAATGTTTCAAATAGTTTCTCAGAATCATTTTCCTTGATAAGTGAACAGTAGCATCTACAAAAGAAATTATGAAAATATTATAGTGACTAACAATACATTCTAGATGGGTGACAAGAAAAAAATTCAACATATTGCTGTTGCTATAACTGTTTAGGCAAATATTTAAATCTTAGCACATAAAGTCATCTATGTGGTTTTCAAAACTTAAACATGTCCATATAAAAAAGCATGGCTACATCAAATTTTCCTTAAAGTTGACATGCCCTGTCATAATGATAATCAGTACTTGGTACAAAGAACATGTGTTCCTCTAGAAAAGTGTTTTTAAGGTGTTACAATGGTTACCTGTCATTTATGATCCAGTTCAGGCAGAGATTGAGAGAGCTAAGATTTTTGCACCTCTTGACAATTTCCATCACGGTTTCATTATCCAGTTCAGTGATATGACGTAGGTCCAAGCTGGAAAGGTTTCTTAGCTAATGAGATAAATAAAATGAAAGATGAGAAAGATAAATGCTACATTCATTCTCAAAAATTAGAGTATAATTTATTATAGAGTATCACTGTACAATAGTCTAGAATCATTTAACTAAATGTTTAAATAATATTTTAATACTAAGTTAGTAATGAGGGCAGAAATCTACGGTGAATGTACAAAAGGCAACAAACATTAAAATCAAACAGACTTTATTAAGGCATCATAAAAATCAAAAGTTAGCAATCTAGTAGGTGGGGAAGCTGTAAAGTATATCACATTTATTTGATAGGATTATCCTCTTGAACATTATTCAATTTCAGATATTTATCTTCATGATTATAATGCCATTTTGTACAGGTTTTCTCATAGTTTAAAAAATAAAATATGAGTAAGTGTTTAATTCAGAGAAGTTTTGGTGATATTTTATCAATATACACCAAATTGTATTATCATGGATTGTGGGTTTCGCTGTCTGAAAAACAATTTAAAACACTGTTTAAGAAGTAAAGATTTTCTCCATGTACCACTTTCCCCATTTCTTCATTTTCTCTAATTCATTCTCTACTTGATGTTTCCTGTCTTCCCCTGATGTTTAGACTCCAAGGAAAATTAATAATATCATTTACACAAAAATGGTAGGATATTAATTATCCTCTTCAAATAAACTACATTTTAAATGAGGTATTTTTGCTTAATAACATGCAAAGAATTAATGTGTAACACCCCCCGCCAAAGATGTCTATGCCGTAACATGCTACCTTATATGTCAAAAGAGACTTTGCAAATGTGATTAGTTATGGATTTTGAGATGAGCAGACTACCCTGTATTATCAGGGTGAACCCATCTAGTCATATGAACCCTTAGAAGCAGAGAAACTTTCCCAGCTAAAGTCAGAGAGATGTGATGGAAGAAGACACAGGGGATATTTGAATTGTCAAAGGGACTGAACCTGTCTTTTTTGGCTTTGTGTTGGAGTAAGAGGGCCGGGAGCCAAGGAGGCAGGCAGCCTCTAGAGCTGATAGCCAGTAAGAAACAGGGACTCCACACCTACAACTTTAAGGGATCGAATTTCCTCAAAAACCTGAAAGAGCAAGAAAACAGATTTTCTTCTTGATCTTCCAGAAAGGAACACAAGCCAGCCAACACCTTGAGTTTAGCCTGTTGAAACCTGTGTTGAACTTCTGACTAATAAATGATGAGATAACAAATTTGTGCTGTTTTAAGCTGCTAGGTGTGTGGTAATTTGTTACAGGAGCAATAGAAAACTAGTACATGGTGTTTCCAGCGCCATCTGGGAGCTCTCCCAGGACGAGCCAGTCTTCTCTAGGCCAACCTCAAATCCTTCTGTTGGGGACAAGGTGAGTCACGCAGGAAGCTGACTGGAAGGTGTAACCTAACTGCCAAGGGCCTCAGAGCAGGAGCCTGCTGAGTCCCACCTGAGGGTCATGTGAGCTTTGACCCCAATAGAGGATAAGACACTGGCATCTCCACTGCTGTAGGACCAGAGGGAAAGAAATACTTTAAAGCAGCACCATCCCAGAGAACTTTCTGCAGTGATGGAAATGTTCTCTATCTCTGCTGTCAAATACAGTCATCACGTCACATGTGGCTACTGGGCACTCGAAACATTACTAGGGTGAGAAAGGACCTGAGTTTTTTAATCTTATTTAGTTTTGTTTAGTTTACATTTAATTTTTATATCTGAATGCAGCTAGTGGCTACAGTGTTGGACCCCACGGACCCACACCCTAGTATAATTCCTGACCCTTGAGTATGGGCAGGACTTGTGAATACAATGAAATATCCTCCTTATAAGGAGAAGTAAAGGATTTTCGTAGCTATAATTTAAGATTTCTGACCAGCTGACATTAGGGAAGATAACTGAGGACCAAAGAGGTTTGAATAACTTATTTAAGTGCTAAGAATAGGGAGAAAGAAGATGGCAAATCTAAACTATTTTACAGACTTAGAAAAATCCAAAGATACCTTCTAAAACTTCTAAAACTAATGGAATAGCAAGAAGTAACAATTCCAGAAACTAGTTCCATGTGATAAAACTCTCATTCTAGTTTACTGACTCCAGAGCTTTTAGAAATACTGCATCCAGACCCATTCCTCAGGGCAAGGTTGGTCAGATGATGACACTGGGTCACCTGTGGCTGATGCTGCCCTGTATTTATTGTCCATAATTGGAGCATTTTCACTCTTTCAGTAGAGCACAAACTCACATGAGGAAACAGCTTTACTTCGGCTCTCACATGCCAGCGTTCTATTGAGACTCGAAGAGTGTTTTACCCTCTGATTCAATTAAGGTTCATTTTTTCATGAGCTGACAGTCACTCACTATGCTTGAGTGGCCTTCCCTGTGACCGTACTGGCCAGTTCAAGCTTGAAATATGACAGTATCCAAAGGCAGGTCCAGGAGGCTAATTCCTTGTAACTGGCATCATTACAGGACACGTACTGAGCACCTCCACGGGAAGTGGCATTTTTATTCAGAACTCCACAAACAGCTCTGTCAAATCCATCATCTTCTTTCCCTTGCTATGGGAATTTCATAATAGTGCCCTCCAGTGTTTCATAAAAACCTACCTAAAATAATCCTTCATAGTCTGAAACAAATAATTACATTTAGGAAACTGACATTTTAATTAAACTTACTTTCCCTACAAATTCACAGGTAGTCTTGGGTTATACAAATCACAGAGGATTTGACTAAGGAAAGCCATACAACCAAGATCTTATAAATGCTTCGCCTCAATTTTTAAACATTTAGTAAGGTATTTTAAAAGAAACCCAAGTAAGAAAGTAGAATGTCGGTAATCAACCTTCAGTTTAATACTGCTTTTATTGGGAAAGCTATTACATATAGCCAATACAGGTTAAAGGCTAAAATTAGTCAGTGACTGGTATGGCTGTGTATGTACTTAAGTATAAAATGAGACACTAAAATGTTACCTAGGAAACACAGACTTGGAGGATTATAAAAAGACCTCAAATGGCTTCCAAATTTTCTTAAGACTCTGGAAAAATTAAAAATGAAACAAAACCCTCAAAATCAATTGTGCAGGTTGACTACAGTGGATGAAACAACATAAGAGGACACACAGTACCTTGGCAAAGACAGCAGGGATGTTTCACTGTTTCAGACAAACAAGGATAATTTACGTGAAGCCAGTTAGAGGTGATAGTTTTTGAAAAGAATAAAAACTTCTGTATAGTTAAATGTGTTCAAATGTCAACTAGCACCTAGATTACTTCTTGCCAGCGCTGCCTTCACTGTAGGTTCAGAGCAATCGGTTGTAATCTTTAGGGAGCAGAAGTCATTGGTTAAGGCTGCTAGGGCCACAGATCGGTGACACACACTCATCTACAAATCACGTGTCAGGCTGCCAGGGTGGAGATCACGGGAGATCAAACGCACGGGGACACAGAAGGACCAGAGAAAGGCATTTATAAGAAGACTGATGAGAGCCACCTATTAAGGACAGAGAGGGAGACACAAGAGAAAGGGGGGAGGCTGCGGTACAAGCTGTGAAGGGCAAAACTAGACATACTAGTAACTAGTAAAGAAACTGAGATGGCTAGGAATGGAAAGGGGCAGAGAGGGAGGGAATTCCTGTCCCCTAGCACAGGAAATCCTCGACACCTTGACAGGTTCTCTTACCTACATTTAGAGAAGAACCTGGCTGGACAACAGAGAGGACAAGGAGCATCCCTTCTGCTCACCAACTAGACTGAACCTCAGCCTGGCCAAGGCTGGCACTGGAGTGTGGAAAGAGTAGTAACAGCTAGGTAAGTCACATTCAGGACATCAGGCAAATCCTTCCCGGCACCTCACAGAACTGAGAACCACAGGGTGGAACTGAAAGCTTTTAAATAGCCTCAGAGCCTGGCAGAGACAATAAAAATTTCTAACCATGAAATAGGACTTGCAGGGTGTTGAATTCTTATCAGACCCACAGTAGCTACCATGTTAATTCTCTGGCACCTTCTCAATGGGTTCTTTCCAACCACTGTCTTCTTAATCACACTGGGCTGCTGTCTCTTTGCTTTACTTCCAAATCCAAGGCCTGGTTGGTTCTGCCATTCTCCTACCGGATCTGACATCTTGCACCATTTTCTTCTCATCCCATTTTGCTTTCTAGGACACTTTACTGCACTGCTTCTCCTCAGAGCTGTCCCTTCTAACCCCTTCTTGCCACATTACCAGCCAGACAGTGATTCCTTAAATAACTTTGAACAGACCTCTCACCTTCTCTGAAATCTCTAGGGAACAAAAACATTTCAACTGTAGAAAGGAATCCCAGAGTCTGCGTGGCCAGGCCCTTCATTTTCCATCCCTTTCATTCCCTGACATCTCTTAAGACAGCTCAAAGCTCTTTCCCCAGGTTTTGAGGAGCTGTTCTCACTGTGCTCAGAGAGCTGTACTCATTATGTAAGACTGATCTCACTTCCTGATTACTTGACAGCAGAAAAATTAGTGAGTCTTAGAAACATAATGTACTTAATACAAATTATTAACCAGGCAGTCACCAACATAACTATGCCCTTTAGACAGAAATCATCAATTGCAACAGCTACCGAGGGACCAGGGGAGCAACTTCTCCTTCCTGCTACCTGGGAGTCCCCTCTTTGTCGTCCCCATCACTACACCTTCCCTCTCCTGTTTCCCTCCTCCTCTCCAACCAGCTCTTCCTGGGCTGTGTTGCTTAGGACCAATTTTTTACTGCAGACATTTGACATCTAGTGCTTGGGCTGATCTAAATCTAGGTCTCCGGTGCAGCAGTTGTGTTGCGCTTTCATTCATTCATTCACACGTATTTAAATGTTTCCTGAGCACTGGCTCTCTACCTAACCTTGGCTGCCCATTAGGATCATATGGGGAACCTTTGAAAAAATACTAATGAGCAGGTCCCATCCTTAGAGGTTCTGATTTAATTGGTTTGGGGTAAGACCCGCCATTCTTATTTCTGAAAATGATATCCAGCTGACCT